TTGGATGCATTTGAAAGTTTATTTCTGTATTTTCAATAAAGTGAATTACAACTTTGAATTCCACTGCAAAGTTCAAAGTTCATATTAGTATTTTTGGTTATGTGATATACTTTACAACCAAATTTTGGGAATCAATTAACATTTTCACAAAGATGGGTTTGATTTTAATTCATGTTTTTACAAATGTTTGACATTTGAAAAGCTATAATATGCAATTAGTAATTTTATCTTACAATTTGTTATTAAGTTTTCTTTAAGGTGCATCAAGTAATTGCATTAGAATATATTTGTTTCTATTTAGTGTGATTCAAGTCATGCTTTAAATCTTATTATGACTTAGAATTTTGATAAGCTTAAAAAGCCTAACTCACCTGTTTAACACTTTGTGAGGGCTTCCCCAGAGGTCAATCTTGATTTTGTTGCGGGTGCATTGCCAAGAGGGAAAAGGAGCAATAGGCAGCAAGTGTCCAAATTTTGACTTCTACAAGCGACTCCAGAGGCGAAGCATCACTGCTCGAATTTGTAAATGGATGTTCGTATTTAGACAATTTTATATTGCTACAAAATGTATTTAAATGAAATGTATTTTTCAGTATTTATATTTTATATACGTATATATCAGTCAGTTTTGTTAAAGAATGAAATAATGATGTCGTCAATTGCTGGAGTTGTAGAATACATGTATGGCAAGTTTATTAATTTTTGCTTTACTCAATATACTTCATTTCTTTAACGATCAATTCATATTATGACGATTTAAATTCATACATCTCTTTGTCAATTTAATTTTCCTAATTAAATTATATTTTATATTACTATTTTTAATGACGAGATATTTAAATATTTTATTAATTACCTTTAGAAATACTACTCCGTGCATCGCACGGGTGTACTACTAGTATATTTTATATGAAAATCCTATGTTGTTTTATGATTAAATTCGATATGAACCTTGGTTTAAATCGTTGATAAATTGTAATTTGTTTTTAAAACTGTAGATTACGATTTGAGTCAAGCATTTTATGATTCAATTCGCACTATTCATATGTTATTTACAAAATAAATAAATAAATAAATATATCTATCTATATATATATATATA